CTCAGTGAATTTGTACAAATGGAAACAACCTTTGAAATTCATCTAAAAAATCTCTTGCACCGCTAATAACATGTATGAAAGTTGTTCATTGTTCAAAATGAAAATGAAATAATGTCTTGAATACCTTTCTCAAGCGTAACATTTTTCATGTCTAGTTTTCTCAGAGCTATTCCTATCTCTGATGTTGAATGAGTTTCCAAAGGTTCTGATATAATAAACTGAAGCCTAACAAGCTCTATACGTTTTTTTTTCTGTTTATATTGTAGAAAAGGAAACTGAGAAGCTTCCCGAGTACATCTCCCCTCAGTACCGTTTCGCTTGCTGCGCACAGAACTGCAACTACATCTGCCCCGAAGAGGGCAACCTCCGTCACCACCTGATGGCTCTCCATAACGGCGAAACATCTTTTACGTGCGTACACTGCAAGGCGGACATCACTCCCACTGACGTTGACCACATCATCAAGCACCTCAAGCTGCACGGTCTGCAGTTGTTCAAGTGCTTCTACTGCAGCTTTGTGAGTCACCTCAAAAGCAAAGCCGAGAAGCACGTCAATGATTATCACGCCGATTTGCCGAGTAAAGTGATTACTGTGAGGTGAGTAGTGATTTTGATTTTGTTAGGTTCGGTTTATTTTAGTAGAGCATTTTATAGGCCAGTCACTGTTATAACAATTAAAAATTCAGCGTGACATTAACATTGTTCAGTGTTGAACAGAAGAGACAAAAATAAATACACATTAATCAAAATAAGATTAACAGAACATGTAGCTTTGTCGAACTTTATAAGCATAAAAAAAACTAAATTATAAATAGTCCAATTTTAATAAATAGTCCATTATTTTACTGAAATTGTATGAGAGAGTAACACAGAGTAATATAACATTTCATAAATTCCACGTAAGGCTTGAATTTTTGAGAGTAGATATCTCATCGCAATTTCTTGGATAAATGATTTATTTGTAATTGTGAAAATTATCAGTTTTATCTTCTTCTTGAAGATGATCATTTGGTGATCGAAACACGTGTCGAGGTGTAAAAATAACGATTTGGTGTTGAGAAAAAACTCCAGTAATATTTATTTGTAAATTCTGTTCAAGATGTCCATCAATAAAAATTGCGTTCAATCAGATTGAATCTTGTGCACTTTTTATATACTTGGATATTGCTTGTTATCCAAAATATAATGACCAAAATTTGCAATATTCAAGATATGTGACTTTAAAACTGCGCATGTGTCTAAAGCTAGTGTGACGTCACTAGATATGTCTGTTTTTTGATACAGTATGCGAACTGTACATAGACCGAACCGTTTGAAGTTTGAATGAAGATATGTTCAATGCAGGAAAGTTTCATCAAGGCAAAAACAAGTAATTTACCACAAGTGTGAATAAGAACTGAGTTTTATTTAAATCAAATTAATTGCTTATGATGCATTGTTTGGAACCTTTGATGTAGTAATGAATATTACTGGAGTTTTTTCCCAACACCTCGACACGTGTTTCGATCACCAAGTGATCATCTTCAAAGAGGAAGATTAACAGTTCAATCTTTCTCTTTGAAGATGATCACTTGGTGATCGAAACACGTGTCGAGGTGTAAAAATAACGATTTGGTATTACAAATCAATTGCAC